GGCGTCGCAGACAGTGCGAAAGACTACCAATGCCAATGACAATGGCCGTTTGGGCAACCCGTCTGGCTTGGAGCCCGAGCCTTCAGCACCCACGCCCGCGGCGCCCGCGCCCCCACTCGCCGCAAGCCCCAGCCCTTGCTCCAGCCACGCAAGCAACACTTTGCGCGGAAGCCGGAAAATTGCCCGCTCGCTGGCAGAAGGTCTGAAGTTTTGGGAAGACTGCATTTATGAGTTGTGTGAGTCAGAGTTGCAGCAGCTGATGAAGGCTATGGAAGATGACTCGCTGAGCACAGCGTTCTCAGGCAACTGGGCTTGAAGTTAAAGTTGAGTTGAGTTTGAATCAGTTTGAGTTCGTTCGCCAATTGCCCATTTTCCAAATTGAACATTGTTTCCATCCGGATTCGGCCGCATTTTGTTTGATAGCAATATGACGGTAAGTCCGGTGACAAATTGACGATAATTGACCGACTTTGACCAGTATCGTCGAATTGTCGTTCTTGCCGCAGGAATAGAGGCCCCCACCACCGCCATGAACTGTTTGCGCTTCCAGCTGGCCCAAAGCCTGGACGTGAGCATTGGTGCAGACGCAATGGACTTTGTCCCTCCAATCAGACTGCTCAGCGCGTGCGAATGGAACGCAGATGCTCAGAAAGAGATTCTGGCAATGCACCCAGGCCCAGACCCAGACACGGTAACGGCGCATTCTGCAACTGCAGCCGCAGCTGGCAACTGCAAGCCCGACCCGTGTCTCTTCGGGGACATCAATGCCCCTCAGCGGCAGCGCATTTCAGTCATTTTTTCAGACAACTCATTTCGATCCAATCCCGGCCAGCCGGGCCGAGCTGGCCTAATTAGGCGGCCTAGATTCAGTAGATTCAGATTCAGATGTGCCATGTCTGTTTGGGGATCGTTTTTTTCGATTCAGTTTAATTCAGTTTCAGTCTCAGTTCATCAACTCAGTTCGATTCAGAACTGCGGCCTGAGTTTGTGAGTTAAGTTGTGAGTTCGTGAGACCGTGAGATGTGAGGCTGGTGATACGTATACTTAAAAAGCTCGAACAGCCAAAGGCCCGCCAAAGCGAGCTGAAGCAGTTGGTTTCATAGGTAGGACCCGATTATGTGTCTGACATTGTGTTTTTGACATTTTCAGTTTTCAGTTTGATTGACGTTTGATTCATTTGATTGATGCGACCGTCAGACTGAGACACGACTGTTGTGGTATGGCTATTGTGAGATTAATCCGAAATTCAGCATGCCCGGCATTCGATCTCAGGCGTTCTGGAAGCCAGAGCTGGCGCCGATGATCAAAAAGTTGCAGACACAGCCTGCGCACACGCTCGACCTTCTGGGCCCGTTGGTCAAATCAGGTGAAGCCGTTCGGCTGGAAGCCTTTTGCACCCGCCATCAGCGGGTCTGCCGGCTGCAGACAGCGCGTCGGCACATCGCTGGGACGGTGTGCGTGGGGTTCAGCAGGAGGGGAGCAGGTTTGTCAGTTGCCGATCCCACCATGATCCCAACGCTCGCATGGTGCGCTCTGAGACGCTCCGTCCAGGAACCAGACGTGACGCAAGAAAACGTCAAGGGCTGCCCGCCCGAGTTGTTCAAGGAGTACCTCTTCGACCTGTACTACATGGACGTTCTTGACCTGGATGCGGTGCAGTTTGGCTGGGCGTGCGGGAGGCAGAGGCAGTTCATCAGGTTCCGGCACCGCGCCAAGATCTTGGCAGAGATCTCCCCGTGCGCACGGTTCGTGAAGCGCTTCTACCGCGCGTGCGCCTACTCGTGGAAGGAACACTTCTTTATGTCAAACTGGACTGACGGGATCCTTCCACAGGAAGCGAAGGCAGGTCGCGTCGTTCATCGGTCGGTGGTCGCTCCGCTGGTGGCTTCGCTGGCGGCGGTGGCTAGTTGGCTAAGTTGTCGTTACCGTTATCGTTATCGGTGTTGTCAAGTTGTCACTGTGTTGTCGGACGATGGTAGCTGGTCGGGTGTGGACGCGGGTGAAGATGAAGACGATGATGATTCGGATGACAATGGTGTAATATGGTGATGATGATGATGATGAAGATGATGATGATGATTATGATGATTATGCTGATGCTCAGATGCTCATGTTGATGATGATGATGATGATAATGATGATGATGATGCTGATACTCATGTTGATGTTGATGATGATGCTGATGCTCATGTTGGTGTTCATGATGATGATCATGATGATGACGATGATGATGACGATGACGATGACGATGGTGGTGGTGATGGTGACGACGGTGACGATTCTGACGATGATGATGACGAGTGGTTATTCAGCGGTTATGGAGATGATAAAACAATTTTATGTTCTGATTCATGATGTTGAGTTGATGGATGGTCGCTTGACCCCTGGAGGTTGAACTGGACTGGGCCAGGAGCAGACCTACATCCAGGGCGTACTCAGCCGCCGCTAACTGTCATCTCCTCTTCTGTGACACCATCGAGCCACCGACCAGAACAGGAGTCTCTCAGCCCAGATGGATGTTTGCAACAGAGGTGCTCTCCACACAAGGACCACGGGTTCTTCTGCTGTGGCTGTGGCTGTGTCCGGACCATAACGTAACGACCCATGATTTAGTGACATCATGATATTCATTCATTCATTCATTCAGAAATTCATTCAAAGCTTTCAATGTTTTCAATGCTGACTCAACTTGATTGCTCAATTGCTCAAGTTGCAAGTTTCACATAGCCATTACCAAGTTTTGGTTACGTTTGCCGGTTACATCGAGACTGCAAGCTCGTTCAAGCCAAAACCAAAACCAAGTTCCTTCCCCCTGGCTGGCAGGATTTCCTGTCGTACCAGGAGCCTTTAACTATCCCGAGGGAAGCTCAACCCCATCGGCAAAGCTTTGCTCCTTCAACTACCTGAGGGCGGGTCGGTCGCCGCGCGCTATGCAGCTAAGCTTAATTAAGCTCGGCTCAGCGTTGCTGAGCGTTGGTTTCACATGTTGGTTTCCTTACTTGTCATGTCTGGCCAGCGGCCAGCCAAGAGGCAGTCTAGTTTGTTCGTCAACTTGTCAACTGGCTAAACAGGTTTGGCCGGCTTGGCGGTTTGGTTTGGTTTCATGTATGTGGTCCCGGCCCCTTCCCAGGTGCGAGCAGGCTGGTAACTCCATGAACGTGCTGGTCATGACTGCGCTGCAGATGCACAGTTTGATTGAGTACCGTCGACGACCAGTTCCTCAGTTGATTGCGCAGTGTGCGCTGGCTCTGCAACATCAACGGAGCAAGCGAAAGCACCGTGAATCTGTTGGCGCGGGGAATGCGGATAGGCCATCAAAACGGTTTCGATTGAGGCACAAAACTCGCCCCCACTAATTAGACTGACTGCCGTCAAGTGGTTCGCAGTCACAGGTCACACTGTCCACCTGACCGCTTCGCGCTTGGTATCATATCGTATGTTTCTTGGTGTTTTGTAATAACTACTAACTACCAGTGGTAAGTGGTCAGTAGTCAGTGGTCTAAGGCTGATTTAGGGTTGTAGGGAATAGGCCCAGGAAATAATGTAAGACTCGACTCCTTAGTAGACGCGGTCGCAATGGTCATAGTATGCTAGAAATGCTAAGATCGAGAATCGAGTCCGAAGACCTAAGATGCTATGCGGTCAGAGGTCAGAGGGACTTCTTCGGATTTCCGTGTGCAGCCAAACCAGCGTGGCAATTGCGAACAGATCGTGATTGTGACCAGTGGCCACGGCCAACGGTTAGGAGTGAAGCGCTGGGGCCTGGGGCGTTGGGCACGTGCCGCCGTCGAGCGGGGCACATGCGGCACATGCGTGCACATGTACTCATGTACCCAGACTGTTTACCAGCTTCAGACAGTTTCAGACTTCAGACGTTTCAGATTCAGAACTTCAGTGAACTTTAGAGCCCTTCGGCCCTTCAGTGCTTCAGACTCAGACTTCAGAGTGGATGTGATCGTGATCGACTCAGAAGTCATGAGGTGACGTGCGCGCAGCACACTGTTGCGACGTTCGCGGCTGGAACAATATTCCGGACGCTCTTCATTTGACTTGTTTATCTTGCTTTTCGGACCGGTGACCGGGCCGGACCGCGACATTGCCTCGAGTAACTATGCCTGCCGACTTGGCTTGGCTGGAAGAAAAACCGCCATGCGTGCACCTTGTTTGCCTCGTGCGGTTGCGGGTTCAGGGTTCAGCGCTCAGGTCCAGGTTCAGGCTTTGTGTTTGCATTGCTTGTGCTTAGGCTTGTATGTGCTTGGAACACACATGTGTCACATGTGTGTGTGTGTGCGTCTGTGCGCATAGGCATGCTGCATGTCTGACTTGCATTGGACACATGACACGTTACGATGCTTGTTAATGTTTTCCGTTTCCAAGTTTTCAGTGTTCAGTGTTCATGTTCCGTGTTACCGTGTTCCGTTCCGTTTTTTTCTCAACAGTGTTTAACGTTCAGTCGTTCAGTGGCTGTGAGTGACCAGCCATATTGTCAGTTTTACATCAACTTCTGTCTGAACTTCAATGAGGAGAGGGCGAGCAAGGCGACACGGCTCTTGCGCGCATTCCGAGTCCCAACGGTCCCAACATCTCATTGACGTGTTGAGATTACACAACTTGTGGGTGAGTGGGTTCCGATTCCCGATGCTGCCGGTGAGGACGTGGCAATTCGTCATTTTGCCAGATTTTTGGCTCACGCTTAGTGCAATCGCAGATTCGCAGATTTCCTGACCTCACCACCTCCTCACTACGCTCCCTTGGCCGGCATGATGAAAGGTGACGTGTCAAGCCGTCCAGGGACGCCGTTGACGAGGCAGGGTTCGACTCCGGGCTCAACTTTGTCACGGACCTCCACTTCCACGATTACACCCGGGCTCCTGACGGGCAAGGATCCGAAAGTTGACAAGGACAAGCTCGGCGGCGTGAACATCTATGACCCCACCTTGAACCACTCGGTGGAGTTCCTCTTCGGATCATTGGATGGCGCGCCGTTGGTAGATGCGATAATGGACTGGTTCCTCGACAAGGAGCTCACATCGCTGCCTTGGTACTTTGAGTCGGATGACGGATCAAAGTGCCGCACAATCGTGCGATCGCCGCTATCGCGCGAAATTCAAGAGAAGACAGTCACCAACTACATGGTTCGGATGCGCCGCGAAGGGCTTTCGCAACGAGTGGCAGGCCGGCCCGGGTGGGCGACCGTCGTCATGAGTCATGAGTCATGAGACCTGAGGCACTCATGAGTCATGAGTCACAACGCTTGATACATAACTTGATGAACGCCGAACGCATGATGAGAATGATGATGGCGATGACGATGTCTGATGTCTTGGATGATGAGGATGAGGATGATCATTGGTCATGATGATGATGGTTCATGATTCAGGACTCCAGGACGATGACAATGATGGTTGATGATGATGATGATGACGATGATGATGATGATGTTCATGATCATGATCATCATGATCATGATGATATGGTGATGACAATGATGGTATTGATGATGATGATTCTGTTGATGGTATGGCATGACTTATTACCGTGAGCCTGATGCTGAAGATGATCAGTATGATTTTGACAGTTTGACATGATCATGATCATGATGATTATGATAAGTAGTTATCATGATTGTGATATTGAGTCGGCGGGTTGATGACTTTGGTGACAATGTTGGCCCAGTCGGCGGTGGGCGGTGGGCGATGGCATCAATGCTGAATTCTGACCGACTTTGACTAGATGGTACTGACGGTCATGAGGCTGAGAAGTTGAGAAGATGATAGCGCTGCTGATGATGGTGACGATGATGACGGTGGTGATTCAGTGGCGATGATTATGATTCGGTGATGATCCAATGATCAGTGTTGAGCAGCTGGCTGGCTGGCTGCTGATGGTTGATGCTGCTGAGTCTGAGACATCTGAGACAGACTAAACAGAAACTCACGACTCACTTATAGCTTAGACATTTAGACTAGTTGTGTTTATATTTTTTTGATTAATAACTCATTGGTCGGATGTGAACTCAGTTGCCAGCTGTCGACGTGCGACCTAGACCTTGATCTGAACAGGAGAGGCAGTGATGAAGTGGAGATCAGAGGCACGCTCCTTCCCGCTGCATGCAGGCGCTTTCAATCACAGAGCGGAATCGTTCTATCGCTGCCACGATGAGATGGTCAGCGGCGGGGTGGTCAACCCCTACATCCAGAGTGTGCTGGATAAAGGGCTGACCAGGATTCCGGTCCTCCACTGGGGCACCAGCGACAAAGTGTTCAGCAAGCTGATCAAGGTCATGAACCGGTACCACGATGGGTCGGGCGACTCGTTCGTCGAGTACTTCCAAGAGAGCCTTGATCTGGAATCCGAATGGAAGGCGCACGCCGTGAAGGCTAGAATCACTTCACATAACCCACGCTACGCGCAGTTGCAGCAGGATTTCATCTTGGCAGCCAGCAAGTCAGCCAACTTCAGTGGCTTCTTCTCGTGCTGGGAGCACTACAAGGACACCCTCGCGCTGGTCCACACACTGGTTCGCCTTGGTGTCAAAGACAAGTTCATCCAGTGGGCAAACAAGAATGTGTCCTTCCTCGAGGATGCGATGACTCCGCAGAAGGTCATCACGATGATGCACTCGATTACTTTGCTTGTGCTTGGGAACACCCGCAAGTATTACTCCAGGAAGCTCCAAAGCATCATTGTCATGGAAGCTCTCAAATTCACGGTGCCTCGGCAGCTTTGATTCGTTACTTCGCTAAGAGAGCAGGTGCATTCGGATCCGGATCCAACTCCAATGGCAGCAATGGCAATGTGTATGTTGTTTACTGTTTACTTACTAGTGACTTCAATGACTTCAGTCTACTTCAAACTTCAGACTGTCCAGGCTCCAGGCGGCTCCAGGCTTCAGAGACTTGAGAGAGTTGACAAGTTGACAAACACAAAGACACTAAACAACAAGCAAAACAGACTAAGTAACAGACTAACAGACTAACAGACTAACAGACTAACGACTAACAATCAAAGGCTGACTCTAGTGACGGTGACAGTGACATGCCGTGTCTGGATGTGACAGGCGACGTCCCGTGTTGTTGTGTTGGCTGGCTTGCAAATCTTGAGCTGAAGCGACGCAAAGCGCCTACTTGCCGTGGTCAACACATAACACATAACATGATTCGGACTGGACTGGGACATTTCACTATACTAATACTATTCCAGCACGATTTGATGTCAATTGTTGTCTTGTTTTTTTGGGGTGCAGTTGAATCACAACTTGTGCAAGTTGCGCAGAGCGCACAGACTTCAACCGACTTCAACAGACTTTCTGACTTTCTGATTTCTGGAATTATTGGACCGACTGGACCGACTGGACTGACCGCCGGGACCGCGTTTCACACACTGGACTCTGGCTTTGAGAGACTTTGAATTTGAAAGACTGAGAGACTTGAGAGTGACTGACAGAAGGACAGATTGACGTGGCATCTTTTTGGCTGACTGGCTCGCATTTTGCATATC